ATCTCTGCAAAATAAATGGCTGGATCATCTAAAGACAGCAAAGTTTCACTATAATTAATCTGGCACCTGTTATTTTTCAGGAAATATGATAGATGATTTGTTGATTTCTTTTTTCTTTCTTTTTTTTTTTTTACTACACGTGATCTAAGAAAAAGCTTGAATTCCTGGGCCAATCACGACCCCACGGGGTTACAATACTGAGTGAATTCAGCAGAAAGCGTAGACACTTTTATCATCTCTCAATGTCCCTTCACGGTAGACTTAAAAGTTTCCCCAGATAACCTCTTGTTTCTATGTCCACGGTCACTTACTGGCTACAAAGGAACCACTTCTCCTGAAAAGGAACCTCCTCGTGCACCCCTCCTCCTAATCTAAGCTGAGTCTTGTTATGAGCTGTTCCCTACACAAGAAAAACCACCCAACCAGTGTCTACACACGAGCTCCCTCTGTCTTCTTGAAGCCCCATGTCTTGCCATCAAATTTTCCCTGAAGGAAATGATGTAAAGATCTGCAACTACGAGAGCTGAAGTTTTCTGCACATGCACGTGCTGACCGGGTGGGGCAAGCCTGTGGGTTTCTGAGACTCGTGGACACTGCTGGCCCTCGTGCCCGACTCAGTGGATGGCAGTCCCAGCGAGGGAGGTGGAAGCAAAGAGGGGAAGACCTTCTTTTCTCCTCTGCTTTCTTCAGCTACAACTAGATATTTAGTGACAGAGAAGAAGGCAGGTAAGTACTGGCGAATTGGGAAACCAGCACACGGTGTGCACGGTGTGCACGACCTGGCGACTGCGGGCGGCCTGAGTCTCAGCAAGACCCCAGGAAACAGCGACGCAGGCCGTCCTACAACAACGCACTCCATGCGGCCGCATCCCGAGTTTGCAGCAGTAATCCTGGTTCTCCTCTTTGGCTGCTTTCCCCGGGAAGTCCAAACAGGGCCTCGAGATCCCCGGGATTAGAAAGTGCACATGGTCCACAGCTCCAAGAGCGTGTTGTGCAAAGGACTGTGTATCAGGAGCAAGCGGTGCTGACTGCGAAAGAGAAGCAGTGCATTTCTCAGTTTCCCCTTGTCACACTCGACAGTTCTCAACAAACCCACATTGCTCCGTCCCAGAAGATTCTGTCACAGGTTAGTGACCCACGCTGGGTTTGCATTTGCAGGAACTATGATAATACTGAAAAGTGGCATGTTCTAATACTATTTGGTCGTTCTCAGGAAATACCTGCAACTTCTGGCACTCGGGTACTTTGTACAAGGATTTCCTCTGATCAACCCTCAGTACTAATATTGCAAACACTGGATGTGTTTCCTAAAACTACGTCCACTAAACCAATTTCAAAGCACATCTCCAAAAGCATACATTTCTTCCTGCTAGCACCAACATCTTTAACCATAAATTCACGAAAGTAGAAATATTTATATCATGTATGCTACCATTGAGTCTTTCAATAATTTCCTTAGGGTTTAACCAAATCTATTACTCACCTAAAGGCTACTTTTATTTTATTTACTTTCTTACTTGTACCTTCTTTAACTCAAAATATATGGAAAATTTCCTCTGTTAAACGTTTCCACAAATTTGTTTCTTCAATTAAATTTAAAGCCCTTTACTTCCTAAGCATGTCAAACCTCGTGACAACAAATGCTGCTAGTTAGAGTTGTGTGACGCCAGCACGTCTGCCTTCGGCCCCGGCTCACATTTCAGACAACAACGATATAACCCACTCTAACGTCACCTCATCACCCAGCGAGTCCTCGGCTTTGAACCGACCGGTCCGAAATCCACTTAGTGTTACTGCGTCTGTGTCCATGACTGCCTTCTCCGGGCAGGTTCTCCCAGGAAGCACCGAAACGAGCCTCTTCCCGTGAGTTCATGCGTCCTTCAGGTGAGCTAACTTCTTGTAACTACCAGATGTCACTTAATGAATAACTATCTGGCACACCCCAGAAGGACGAATTGAGTATTAAACACAAATTATGGGCCCAACTTTCTTTCAAAAAGGTGATATTCACGTGCACCAATCTTCTAATACATTCTTTACTTCTGCTTAAGGTTACAAATTCTTGGGGCTGGCCCCGTGGCCGAGTGGTTAAGTTCGTGCGCTCTGCTTTGGTGGCCCAGGGTTTCGCCAGTTCGAATCCTGGGCACGGACACGGCACCGCTCATCAAGCTGTGCTGAGGCGGCGTCCCACATGCCACAACTGGAAGGACCCACAACTAAAAATACACAACTATGTACCGGGGAGCTTTGGGGAGAAAAAGGAAAAATAAAAAATAAAATCTTTAAAACAACAACAAAAAAAATCCAAAACCCAACAGTTCACTTAGTTTCAGGAAGCTCCAACGAGAGGAGATCACCTGAGACCCACGTGAGAGCGTCACCAAACTCATTTGTGAGTATTCAGGAACCAAGGCGTTACACGTTTGCTTTCATTCTAAATGCTTTCAACAGTATTTAGGGACTCAGCAAATTAAATACTTTTCCCAGAACAGAAAATAAGTTATGCCTTTTAAAATTTTAATTTATAAATTAAATTGCTAAAACTCAAGCTGGAAAATGTATTATTGTGGTCTTGCAAAAAAATCACCTTTATAATGGCATCACACTTGCGTGTATTAAGGAGTCTTCCACATTACCAGTTACAGGACCATTCTGCACATGCTGGGCTCTCTGTCACCTTTTCACCGCCCTGAAGTCACACGACACAAGAGAGCACAGACATTCGTGAAAGGAGAAAGCAAAATGTACAATACATTGAAAGACACATTTCCAGGTTAGAGTCCTAAAATCTTAGTTGAAACTCTGTCTAAACTTAGATTTAAAAACTACAAGGCTACAGCTGCAATATATATACAACAGCGTAAACCACAGGCTGAAAGCACAAATCCATTTTAGTGACTTGTAATTTGATTTGTTCAAAAGTATCATGCAGTTTCCTAAAATACAAGACTATATTAAAAATAATGCAAGCTGGGGTTGGCCCCGTGGCCGAGTGGTTAAGTTCGCGCGCTCTGCTGCAGGCGGCCCAGTGTTTCGTTGGTTCGAATCCTGGGCGCGGACATGGCACTGCTCATCAAGCCACGCTGAGGCAGCGTCCCACATGCCACAACTAGAAGGACCCACAACGAAGAATATACAACTATGTACTGGGGGGCTTTGGGGAGAAAAAGGAAAAATAAAATCTTTAAAAAAAAAATAATAATGCAAGCTGTTTTCTGATTATAAAAGTTAAGTGGTTAATATAAAAAGTTTGGAAAGCTCAGATGAGTATAAGGGAAAAGAGTGAAAACACCTACAATCCCCGCGTAGAAGTAACGAACGTTAGTCTTTTCTTAATCCGGTCTCTCACATTACATCTAAACGCCACGTCACACTCACCTTCCTCGCTGGCCGAGCCTGGTCCCCGAGGGTGGGCTGGCCCTCGGCACAGCTGCGGGGAGTTGAGCAGCGGCAGGTCAGCCGGGCTGGGAACAAAGACAGACACCGCTCACGCTATGTGTCCTCCCGCCTGTCTTCTTCGTGGAAAGCCTCTGTCTCAGTCACGGTCACCACGGTGCAAGCACTCTGCACTAACTGATTGATTCCACAGAAACGTACTCTGTGAGCCAGGACACGGAAGGCAACGGTGCGGAGATGGCGCGGCCCACAGGGGCTCCGTGAGGGGCAGGGTGGGCCCCATGGCACTGAGGCGGCTGCCGGGGTGCACCCGAGCCCTGGAGTCACCCAGTGCAGCTCCCGGAGCAGCCGGGCAGTGAGGGTGCCGGGGGTGGGGAATACAAAGAGCGCATCCTCCTCGTCAACCCTCCACGAAGCTACAGTGCACCGGGCACTGTGTGGAGGCAGAGCCGCACTGTGGACAGGCACCTGCACTGTCCTTAAAGTCCACAAATACGGGATCAGTGATGGCACCTCAATGAGAAGGGACGCCCCGAGAACGTCAGTCCACATGTCCTACCCCCAAATCCAGAGCCACCGGCATCTGCTGTCACTTTCTCCTGGTTCTTTGCTGTCGGAACAGAAGGTGTCCCTCTGGCTCGCAAAGGCTTCAGCCTGCGCGTGGGCTTACTCCATGTCTCCTCTTTTCTCCTCCGAACATCTTCACTCACTCCCTTTCTCTCTGAAAGTATCAATCTCTTTTCTCTACTGGATTATTCCCATTACCAATAAAAATCTACTTTAGGTCAGAGGTCCTCAAAGCTGGCAGAGACCCCGGGACGCTGCAAGAGGTGCACAGGGTCGAGCTCCCTTCATGACACAGAGACAGAGTCTGCCTTTTGCATCCCGATGACATTTGAGCTGAGGGTGCAAAACTGAGTGTGCGCGAAGCCAAGCCCCGACCAGAGCAGCAGCACCAACCCGTCCCATGGTCACCACATTCTTCACCAGCCATGCTCACGCGGAAACGCGTGTTCACCTAAGAGCGTCCCAGAGGAAGCAGTAAAAGTCATGATTTCAGCAAATCTCAACTGTGAGTGCATTTCTTTGTAATATTCCATGATGAAATGGGAGATCCGCATAACCAGCCCACACAGCCTGAAGAGTGACGGTGTCTTGAGAAAAAGCATTTCATGATTGACTGTGAGCCAAGCTGGCCATTGTTTTCATGGAACACCATTTGGAACAACTGACAGACTATAGCTATTTAGACTTGGGTACCTGGCAGATATTTTCTTAAAAATGAACAAAGTGAGGCTGTCATTTCAAGGAAAACACCTGACAGTATTTGTTGCTAATCAGAAAATTTGCGCTTCCAATGGAAAATTAGAATTTTGGAAAACTTATATTGCCACTGTGAACTTGACAGATTTCCCATTCTTAAAGAGTTTCCTGATGAAATCAGTAGTGATATTAACAAGCATTATCTGGATGCTGAATATAGTGAAACAAGCTGACACGTGGAAGACCCACGTAACTCGGAGAATCAATGTGCCCAAGGGACCAGAGCACAGTGCTGCAAATCACACACAGTAAGAGACCACACTCAGTGAGGCAGGAGCGGATTTTTTTTCAATTTTTTTATTGTGTTAAAATACACAGAAGATAAAATTTACCATCGTGACCCTTTTTAGGCATAGAGTTCAGTGGTATGAAGTAAGACAGAGTGGATTTTAATGTAACAGAGAACAAACACTGACTGGCCTGGGTTCAGAGTCCACGCTGGAACTGACCTTCAAGAATCCACCTGCAGAGTAAAGCCCTTGCCCGGCCGCTGTGCTGTCCTGGGAGGTCCCTTCACGCCCCCGGAACTTCCTGAGTGATGGGAGAGTATTATTCACGGTGGGCCCCCAGACCACACCTGCTAGTTTATGCCAGTGAGATGCCTCAGGGTGGGGGCTGGCTATGCAGAAAGATGGGCAGGTTTGATACCAGCCCAACCTCTGGGGAGAGGAGGGGCAGAGACTGCGTGACATGGGCAATGATTCAATCAATTGTGCCCTGGTCACAAAACCCCGGTAAAAACTCTGGATGCCAAAGCTCAGGTGAGCATCCCTGCTGGCAACACTCTGACTGTCACATGTTGACGTGCTGGGAGGGGGATGCGTCCCTGAGGAAGACAAAGCTTCACGTCTGGGCCCCTCTTGGAGCTGGCCTCATGCATCTCTCCCTTTGGCTGGTCTCATTCGTACCCTTTCGCTCTAATAAAACTGTAATCGTACGGACAGAGCTTTCCTGAGCTCTGTGAGTCACTCTAGCGAACTGTCAAACTTGAATGGGTAGTGAGAACCCCAGAATTTGTAGCTAGCTGGTCAGAAGGCTAGGGTCTGGGAACCCCTAACTCGTGGCTAGTGTCTGCAGTGGGGGTGGTCTTCAAATGCACAGGATGACTATATATGAAAAAAACATACAATAACGTGCATGGGAGAGGATGCGGAGAAATTGTAACTCTCCTGCAAGGCTGGTGAGAATACAAAGGGTGCAGCTACTTTCGAAAACAGTGCAGCAGCCCCTCAGAAAGCTAAACAGAGAGTTAACACAGGACCCAGGAATTCCACTCCTAGGTATGTGCCCAAGAGAACCGAAAAAACGTCCACACAAAAATTTGTACATGAATGTTCACAGCAGCATGATTCATAACAGACAAAAGGTGGAAAAAACCAAATGTGTATCAACTGATGAATGGATAGACAAAATGTGGCAAATCCGTACAACGGACCACCATTCAGTCACAGAAAGGAATGAAGTGCTACACACACTACAACATGGACGAACCCTGACAACATGACGCTAAGACAGACCCAAGAGACCACATATCGTATGACTAGATTTATATGAACTATCCAGAATAGGCAAATCCACAGAGACAGAAAGCAGAATAGTGGTTTCCAGGGACTGGGGGTTGGGGGGATGAGAAGTGACTGGTAATGGGTTTGGGGTTTCTTTTGGGAGTGATGAGAATGTTCCAGAATTTGATAATTGTGATGGATGTACAAGTCTGAGAATACTAGAAATCACTGAACAGTATACTTTAAAAGGATGAATTTTATGGTATGTGAATTATATCACAACAAAACTGTTATATTAAAAACAAGAATCTATCACTTGTCAAGTTTTGGTAATAGAATCAAAAAAGGGATTTTCCTCAATTATACAAAAAAGTTATTAAAATAGCTTCCCCCTTCCCAGCTACACATCTGTGAGAGGGCAGACTCTCTTCACAGACAGCTAAAGGATGCACAGAACAGACTGGACAGAAAGAAGCAGGGATGAGGACCCACCTGCCTTCAGTTAAGGCGGGCATCAACGAGGTTTGCAGAAATGTAAAACAACGCCACTCTTCTCACTAACTTTTTTGAAAGAATAGTTATTTTTCATAAAAATTTATGTATGTTAACATGTAATTGGTACACTATTATTTTAGCAAATTAGTAAATGATTATTAATTTGTCAGTTTTACGTTCTGGTATGGGGAACACGACACAAACAAAAGTTCTTGGGGTCCTCAGTGATATTTACAAGTATAAAGGGTCTTGAGACTAAAACCTCTGAGCAGTGCAGCGCTGGCGATTCCCAGGGTGATGCAGTGTAGACGGAAGGAAAGGGACGATTCAAGTCACAGGTTGTGGCAGATCCCAGGGGTGCTGGTGGGCTGGCTGTGAGGCTGAGAGGATGGAGAAGCCCGTGAGCCCCAGCGCTGGGAACGGCTCCTCACTGCAGAGGTGGGTGAGGGCCCCTGGCTGAGGTGGGGAAGGCTGAGGAAGGCAGCTTGGGGAAGGGAATCACCTACATCTGAGGGCTGGGGGCACCCCGTGGAAGTGTCAAGCAGTCAACAGATGTGTCGTTGGGAACCGAGTGGGAAGGTCCAGTTAGAAATACAAGCTGGGAGTCACCGACATTCAGGTGGTGTCTGAAGCCAAGGAACTGAAGGGCTCACCTAGAATGAGGTACACAGAGAAAGGACAGGACAAGGACCCAATACTGAGGGGGCATCCCTGCGTTTAAAAGCCCAACAGCTATGGAGGAGCCAGAAAGGGACACTCAGCAGGGGTGGTCAGCGAGGTAAGAGGAAACCAGACAGCCAAGGAGAGAGTGTCCCCGAGAGTGCAGGTGTGGTCAACGGTGTGGAGAGGGGCCGAGAGTGTGCACCCACACATGCGGCACTGGCCTTGGCCACACAAAGGCCACCAGTACCCTAGACAGAAGCTGGACTGAAGGGGCCCAAGGACAGAAAGAGTGCGAGGAGCAGTGGCAACTGAGGTGTGCACTTAGAAGAGGACGGGGGGAGGTGGAGCTGGGGGAGGTTGTGGGGTGTGAACCACTCGGCGTGTCGGCGGGAATGGTCCAGCAAGGAGAGAAAAACCGACGACGTGGAGAGAGCATCGGTTCAGAAGCGCAGCTCTGAGAAGTCGAGAGGGGCCAGGGGGCAGAGCCCGCAGGGTGGGACTGGGCACACGGGCTGGGCAGGCACCCACAGGTGTCGGGGAGATAACACCAGGCTCAGCGTGAGTGCTTCTGTGCCCCACAAGGGAGAGGCAGGACCAGCATCCCAACATGAGAGCGATGGAGAAAGGAGAGGACAGTGGGGTCGAGAGACAGGAGAAAGTGCAGCAGAATCTTCTTGGAGAGTGACATCCAAAACACTGGGAAGAGCAAGAAAGCGCGGCCTGCGGGGATCTGGGCTAAAACCACGTGGAGTCAGTCTGCACCTACACGGGGCGGCTCGGGCACTCAGTCAGGTGGACAGGCTTGCGGGACAGCTGGGCTCAGCCAGGTGCCGTGATGATAATGCTGGACCAGCTCTGCGCTGGGCAGAGGGGACAGACACAGGTTGAGTGAGCAAGGCAGCGGAACGGTGGTCTCAGAGGACAAAGAAAGCGGAAGCGGCTAAGGAGCCCTCCATGCGCTCAGGTTTGACAGCATCGGCACAGTAAGGCCCTGCCTTGGCACCAAGGGGCAAGCCAACAGGTGGCTGACAAGTGTCTCCTAAAGCCCATGTCTCCCCAGCTGCGAAACAGGCCCTGAGGAGCTTGGGAGGCAGAATGAGGCAAGGAGCGTAAAGAGCTCCCCACTGGGTGCTGGCCAGGATCACCGACCCCTACGGGACCACACTCTGGGGCCCTTCCCCACACCGTCTTCTCTCTCCATCAGCTCTGCCGGCTCCTTTCCCTCGAGATGTGGGAACCTCAGCTTTTCCATGTACACTCTCTCCCTGGGGGAGCGCGCGCACTCCATGGTTGACGCCATCCCTCTGCTGGCCACCCCCCAGGTCTGGCTCAAGTCCTGGCCTCTCTCCTCCTGTGGCCTCCAGCCTGGTATATGTAACTGCCCCCTTGGTATTGACAACAGGATGCCCCACAGATATCACAAACTTCATATACGCTAAAACCAACTCCTGGACAAGTCTCTTCCCAGCCTGTGGCCCCCATCCTCCCATCTGAGTCAAGGACTGACCATCCACCCCAGTTGTCTAGCCAGAAAACTCACTGCCCCTCTCGCCCTGCCCCAGGCTGTTTCCACTCCAGCAATTTCTCCACAGTGGCGCCGCCCCCCCCCCAACCCCCCGTCGGTTCAAACCACAGCCCCCGAGCCTCCACGCAGCCCCATCTCCTCTGGCGTGCCCTGTATTCCACTCCACCCAGCAGCAAGGACAGTCTCTTAGAAATAGGAATCAAACCCAGTCACTCCCTTAAACCCTTTGCCATTTCCCCAGTGCACTCAGGTTACACTCACGCCCCTGACAGTGTCCTTCAGGGTCTGACACACACAGTGGAGCCGCTGCAAACACGCCATGCCCTGGGTCTTTATGGGGCTCGTCCCCCCACTCCTGGCCTCATGGGGCGTCAGTTTAAATATCATCTTCTCCCCCTACTACAACTCATGATGATGTGTTTGTCGTTCACGTACCGATGCTTAACGCCTCCTGGACCCTAGCAGGCGAGGCGAGTCTCTTCTATGCAGTGCCGTATACGCTGCGGTCATCAGACCGGACACCCGGTGAGCGCTCAGGGAACATTTTATGCTGAATGTATGAACAGATGAATGAATGAATGAGGGTTGTAGCATTCCCCAAGCTGGGGAGCAAAGCAGGATTTTGAGTTTGCTATGCCTGTGGGAATAAAGAGAGAAATACAGTGGGAAACTGATAAGAATTTGGATCTCTGGTAGCAGCCTCTCAAAAAACATTTGTCAATAAGTTAATAATGCATAAGTAAATTTCTCAGTACAAACATAAAAGAAGTATTTTGTTAACAACCTCCCAGAGCTTGTAGTCACGATTAATAGTAATTAAATAGATGATGTTTTTCCCATTCCCAGGAATATGGTGGAGCATTTCGGATTCCTTCTAACATGGCTTTATTTAAAGAAGGCCATCTTCAATTTTCATGGTAGGTTCAGTTTAACTCAATCCAGTTCTTCAAGTAATTACTGAAATTCCAAGCACCAGGCCACGTCTCAGGCTAATTCTAAGAATTTTGTGTCTTCTATTTAAAAGAACCAGTAACAAAATTTCAAACTAAAACTATTGGTTAGGTGCTGTGACATGTTACCCATTTCACTGCACTTTTCTCCGACACTCTGAACCTGCCGTCTCTGTGACGGAGGCTTCGTCAGGAGAGAACCTCGCTTCATGACGGGGAGCAGGGCTCCGACAGACTCGACACGAAATGAAAACGAAAAGTCAGACGAGAGACCACTGACCTTCCCGCGCCCAGGGGGACAGCTCGCCTGATCATTTCTGTTCCTTCTTCCATTTCTGCTTCTTCAATTGTTTCCTCTTCATCTTCCACTGAAATCAAAATTATGTCCAACAGACACAATTAAACCCCCGCTTAACAGCGATTTTTCTTAATAATCCTCACATAGGGTGTTCTGAGAGTCAGAAGCAGGATCGAGGAGGACACTTCACAGGGAGGAAAGAGAGAGCTCCATGGGGCTGGAAGTCCACACGCAACACATTCCCGGAAGCACTGCTTTCAGGTGGTTATTCTTTACTTTAAAAAGAAAGTCATATTTTCAGATTATATGCTTCTATCCTAAGGTTGAAAGTCTGGGCAAGAATTTGAAACGGTTGTTATCAGGAAAGATTGACACCTGCTCCTTGGAAGCAGATTTCAAATGCATTAAAATGAACTAATTGAAACAAGTTATTTTTCAGAAAACAAAATTATTTCATTTTTTGTTTTAAAAAAAAGATTTTTTAATGAACTAGAAGCACTTTCTCTCACCTACATCAAGAAACAACAAGTTATCAATGCAATTTAACAGGAAACGAAGATTCTGAAAAGCATCTCTGCACCCCAGTCACCGTCAGCGATATTCCACCAGATCGCTCGGTCTCTCCTCGGGAAGGCCATTCAGCGCTGACCCTCCGTCCTCATCGCAGCGTCATCACACCCACTCTGTCTGCGGGACAGCGGTCGACGCCCCGCAGGCTCTCCACCCTCGGCCTGCTCCTGCACATCACTGCAGATCAATGTCCTGGAATGGTGATTTCACCCCAGCTGCTCAAGAAGAAGAGTTGTAATTTCCAACTGTGCCAGCCCCACAGTTTGCTTCCTTCTTTGAAGCCCCAGATACAACTATCAGTAATAGAAATCCAAAAATAATCTAGGATTTTTCTCCAAACTGAGCATGTGAGCCAATACACATAATGAAAAGAAACGATTCCATTTTCATTTTAGGTAAACACTCGACAAACTATTTACTAAATTTTTACTTAGTAATGTATTTACTAAGCAGCTACACAACTTACATGTTGGTTATTTAAAATGAAGAAGGGCTCCTGAGAGGTCACCTCTGTTTAACACATCGACCCTAGAGACTAGACAAGAAATTTAAGAAATCACAAGACTGAGGAACAACAGGGGAAAACAACGAGGAGCCTTGGGATGGGGCTGTGTGGGGCCGGGGCGGGGAGGGGATAAATGTCGTGGCTGCAGCTGGGGAAGGGCAGCCGGCACGACCGTGGAAGGAGAGGAAGCCCCGCCTGCTCCTCCTCGACGTGGCCCTGGAACAATGAAGGCTGGGCTCCTCGCTGCAGGCCGCTGGCCGGGGCCTCAGACACAAGTGCACATGCTCTGGGAGCAAAGTCAGGGCAGTGCCAGAGGCCTGCACACCATTCTTCAGGACGTCTGCCACAAAGAGACGCAGAATGGAAAGAATTTCTGGAGGATACACTAACGTAACTGGAGGAGCAAATCCAGGAGATTCTCTAAGTATAAGAATTGAGAGCGATTAAATACTTCGGGGAAAAATAGGAGAGAAAGCACAAGCATATCTGTAACAATCGACACTTAAAATTCGAGATATTAATATAATCTAAGTATCAATGTAATTCATCTTATCAACAAACTAAAGTTGAAAAACCAGGCGATCCTCTCAACAGATGCAGAAAAAGCATCTGACCAAAAACATCCATTCATGGTAAATGCCCTGTGAATAAGGATCCACAAACATCAAAAACATCAGGATCCAAACAACCGCTGTCCTTCAACTGGCGAGCGATAAACAGACTCTGAGGCGTCTGCGCGGTGGAACGCCACTGATCAAGAAGAAGAGACGAACACTGCAACGGGGACGAGTCCCAAATACACTGAGCTGGACGAGCGAAGCCAGGCCCCCGGCCACCATCCCATCGACGTGTCATCCTGTGAGGACAAACACAAGGCCCAGAAAGTGCCCAGGGCCGCCAGAGGCTGTGGGAGCGAGGAGGCTGCCGACAGAGTACTGAGGGAGCTGTAGGGTGGTGGACCTGCTCCTCCCTGGACGTGGTGATGGCGATATGGTGGTATGTATGGTCAAAACTCACAGCACCGTACACTAAATTGCGTGCACTTTACTGTTTGTAAATTGTACCTCAATAAATCTGACTTTATTTAAAAAAAACAACAACAACACATCATTTGCAATAGCATCAAAGAATATGAAGTCTCTAGGGAATAGCCCTAACAAAAGATGTGCCAAACTTCCATGGGTAAAATTTTAAAAAGTTATCAAGAGACGTTAAAAAGATGTAAATAAATGTTTAGCCACACCACGGTCAGAAACAGAAACATTTTTATGATGAAGCTGTCAATTCTCCCCAAACCTATCCAAGAGTTCATTGCAATTTCCATCAAAATCCCACCAGGAGTTTTCATGGAATTTCATGCGGGAATGGATTGTAAAATACATACATATAAGAATAAAGGGTCAAGCACCAAGGGCCAAGCCCTCTGAGGAAGAACAGCACGGAGGGGCCTGCCCTCCTGGATACCGAGACTTCTCATGAGGCTAAATGTCATGGCGACGTGGAACTGGCACAAGGAGAGACGGCAACCCCAGCAGCTGACCCCTCCACACACAGAACCTGGACACTCTTTGGAGGAGTCATGGCCGGTCAGCGAGCAAAGGAGAAAGTATTCCACAAAGGCAGCTAGAAAACATACAGACACTCTTTGGAAAAACAAGAGGCTCTAATGAAACTGCGGGAGAGAAAGGCGCCGGGGAAGAGGGTGCCGGGACCCGGAAGGTGGCTGCCTCAGGAGGGCAGTGGGGCAGGAAGACAGAGGCCCGTGCCGCGTGGGTCCTGGCTCCTGTCGTCATGCTCGCTGGTGGATTCACAGGAGACAATTACGTCACAGAAACAAAGAGATGAAGGAAAGAGGGCCTGGCACAGACCAAGGTGAGAGGGTGCCATGAAGCAAGATGGTAACCAATCCAATACCAGGCACGCGAGACGCAACTAGAAAAAAAGAAAAGGGACGTCCTAATTTTTATTTTCTGACATGAGATTAATCATCATACTGCTTTGATGAACAGAATATAGTCTACTTCCAAACAGTAAGATTACTGCATTTTAACTAAAATTATATTTCACATAATATCATATTTTGTCTGAAAATTTTACCCACTAATTGGCAAGAAAAAAATAACACTTTTCTTTCACTGCCACTTAACATATGATACTTAACACTTGAACTGAACCTTAGACATTCCTTATCTTTACTTAAGGAGTCTGGGAAGAATGCACTGGACACTCGACAGGTGAACAAACAAAACAAACATCTCTGAGAGCAGACATCTCTGAACATGACCGCCCCCCTTCGTCCCTGACAGGTGTGCTCGCTTTCCTCTTCTTTCCTGAAGGGAAGTCTTAGTTCAAAATGGGAAACCAAGTATTATCACTAAGAAGAAAGCATGAAATACTCTTGACAGGTAAAAAGAATATACATTTTCAAATTCGGAAAACCCATTACAGCACCTAACTTTTCCCGTAAATGAAGAAAACATCAAGTCCACTAAACTTGCTAATACTCCTGGGAAGACACATGAGAAACGAGTGGCAGCAGTGGCCTGGGGAGGGCATATAGAAGGAAGAGAACCACGTGAGTGCACTACCTATCCAAAACCAATTCAAAAATATTATATGAGAAAAAAGAATCTTCACCCGCTCCTCAACGTGGAGCCCCCAGGAAAGCCCCCGCAGGAGGTTTCTCATCCCCAGTCACAGCTAGAGGACACGCCCACATTTGAAAGCCACTGTTCAGATACCAATAAACGTAAACAACATGGCTTATTTATAGTGTAGGTACACAATCCCTTATCCAAAATCCTCAGGGTCACATAGGGTTTGGAATTCTATTTCAGATTTTAGTAAGGTAATAAAATCATCATGGTTAAAATATTCATAAGACCCCCAGCGGAGCCTGGAAGCACCTCCAGCCAATACCCAAACACACACTGAGCAGGATGAGTGAACCAGCCCGTCTCCGCCAGGTTTTGCTGCGGGAGTCCATGCTGCACTGGGGAAAACAGTTCCGTTTTTAGAGCTTTGGGGATTTTTGAATTGTAGATATGGTGTGAACCAATATGATGCCCTTACACTGATCAGACCTGCCACAGGCTACACACCTCATCGTCACTGGCTGGCACAAATTCTAGGATGGACAAACCAAGAGTATGGCCACACAGGGTGTTTTGATTTTAAGTAATCCTAGGAAAATCTATTTTTAAAATCGACTCTTTCCAGGTGGTTCCAGAGATCATAGCTGGATATGCCCTCTGGAGGGCAGACCAGAGGACTAAGTGATTGGGGTTGTCCCACAAAGGATGATATTGCTTTGAAACCTCTGTCACTGAAAGCAGAGACTACAATTGTAACATCATAATTAAAACACTTACCACAACACTCCTGTTTTCAAGTTGAGCGCTCCCTTCAAACACCCTGGAGTCCTCTTCTACAAAGTATAGCTCATAATGTTGACAAGGCTTCCATCTCATGAGCCGCAGCCCAGGCATGCAGACGGATTCTAACAGCTCACCTTGAAAGTGTGTTGCCACTGATAACATAAAAACCACAGAATGCTTTTCTGAACAAGTACACAATATCTCAATCAGTTACCTCTTTTTGGATGTTTATTCAAACAGTGCCTTCTTTTGTTTCTCTTGAAATTCAATTTGCAGTTTAATTTATACTACCTAAAAGAAGAAAACCATGAATTAAAACATAAAATCATTAGTTTCCAAGTTAAAATTTGAGAGAAAATGGCAGAGGAAAACAGTGTTTACCTGTTCAATATTAGACCAGAAATATTCCATTTCTCTGGCAATCGAGGCAGCAGCTCACCTCAACTTGTTCTGTTCTTCCTTCTCGGCTCTCACTTCATGGCGCCTCCTCTCTTCATGGTACTGAGCCATAGTCCTGACCATCGGAAATTATCATCACATCAACAGTGAGGGTCTCTAAACACACAGGGAATATGGAGACTTCTTTTTTACTAGATACACATATTTAGCAGGGCAGAATTCCAAAGAGAGTCCACTCTTTCCAATTTTAGTATTCATTTCTTCTACTGCTCATGGACAATTCTAATGATAATCAATATTAAAAAGTGAGGTGGATATTCTCCTAGAAAAAAATATCCCTTTATTATCAGCTGAAGACTTTTATGTTAGTGACCAACAAAGTCAAGATGAAGTATGAACTACCATCGTCACAGAGCCTTCTACTCAACAATCATTCAAAGATTAATCCTTCTCAAGTCAGATCAGCTGAAACGCCCATTGGTATGAAAGAGTCCACGAGTAGAAAAGCTCGACGAGCTGTCAGGCCGTAAGAGAAGACACGCTGGGAAGGCTTCTCCCGCTGGTGAAGGCCCGAGTCCCTTCCTCTCTCGGTTGTGGGTCGCATCTACTCCTGGGCCTCACCAGACACACCCTGGTGGGGGGGGGAGGGGTGGTTCTCAGTCTCTCCCCAGCCCCGCCTGCTTCCCAAGTCCACCTGCATTTATGGCGACCTCCCGGTCATTCCCTACCTGCTGGCAATGCGCTCGTCAGATAAAGAAGCTGTCAGCCTTTCAAGCTACGACTACATAGCACTGAGCCCCTCTTACTCAACCTACCCCAAGGAAACCCTCCCCAAAGGCCCACCCTCCAGTCCCACTGTCTCTGAGGAGCGCCCCACTCCTGCAGCTGTGCCGCCGCTCACCGTCACTGGGGCTTCCTGGAAGGCCGGTCTCTGACACTCCGGTCTCGGCGCACCTCAGCCCAGCTCCTCACGAAGCTCTCGCCCTGCACTGTCACCTTCTGGTCTGCCTGTGCTCAGGGGCCCCCGGGAGATACCACACACAGTCTGCATTCCTGTCCCGGCCATCCCAGGTCCCCCACGTCCTGACCCGGTCCGTCTGTCTAGCCTCACCTGCACGTGCCCCGTGACCCTACCAAAATGAGTCCCTTTATATTCCCCAAACACACTCTGTGGGCTTTGGGGAAACAAGTCTTCCTCTATATCATATGGAATGTTCTGCTATTTCTCGTCCCAGAAGTTCTTTAAACCCCTGGTCAAAAGTCATCCTTGTAGCCTCGCAGGCAGAGGCGATCTTTGCTCCTCTGGTCTCCCACACTCTCTATCTCTACCCCTTCTGTGGCCTCTGTCTGTGTGCAGCGTGTGTCCTGGTCTCCGGTTTACAGACACCCTGTCTTCCGAGAGACACTGTGAGAGGCAAGGACGGGGCTCCCCCGCGTTGGTCCTTAACACCTCTAGACACAGCCTCACGCCACGCAGGCACCCACTGGATGCTATAAAGTAAATGAAAGGGTATAAACTATAGAGTCAGGGAAAGTCTTAGAGTTAGTAAGGAAAAAATCAACATTAAATAAGCAATATTTAATTTAGAAATCTATTACCTAATACAATGACTTCTTGAGTTCTCTTAAATACTAGAATTTCCACGAAGTTTACTGTTCAAACCTACCTTCTTGGCAGCGGCCACCTTCCACCTCCTCTCCTGGGCGAAGTCGGTGGCCATCCACTGCACTTCCCCCAGCAGATGGTCCCAGTGCGATCTGGGGCGCGGCGCCTCCTGCAGTTTTGGCAGCTGCCTCACTGACCACAGGCCTGTTTTCCTCGACTCTGCTATTTGCTGATGGATCTGGTTTTCCTGAAAGGCAGGAGCAGGACCATCTGCACCAGATGGAGTCACAGATCAGATTACGGTCCAATCCTTGCATCACTTGTTTAGACTAGGAGACTGAGCAAGAACCCGTGAGTGGCCTTTCACTTCCCTAAAGCCGTCACCATGAGATTCCCCCTTGCGGCTCTGCTGTAGTCTGTCAGCGCCGCCTGCAAAGAACCGGGGTCCATGCCTCTCGGTGCACCTCTGGTGACACTGCCACACTGATGTTCCACCCTCACGGGATTACAACTTAACGGAGGAAGTTACTATTGTCTCTTTCTTACAGAGAAGAAAACAGCAGCACAGAGAAAAGCTGTAACTTATCCAGTATCTCATCACTAATTAGTAAAAAGTTTCAGAAAATATTTAGCTATCCTGACTCCTAACCCAGTACACGTTATGTCAAAACCTGCTGTCTAGTATTGATAACTAAATACAATTATTTTTAACCTGTTTTGACTTCAGAATAGAATCCATTTCCAATTCTTTCCAACTATTCTTAGAATTACAGTAAAATCAGATGTACTCTAATATTCAACACAAAATAGGGCCAAGATGGAACTAGCCCATTATAGCCTACCTTTCCCACCAATTACAACTAAAAACTTTGGTTAAACCAGAAGAAGCAAACACTCTGAAAAGTAAACAAAAGCAAGAGGATTGTGGAGATTTAAAACTTAGAGAAGCAAACCACGTAAAGGTGAGTTTCCAGGTTTTCTTTCCCACTTTCTCTCATGGCTTTGCCCCAAGGGGGGGAACCCTAGGCGTGGAGCTGGGCAGCGCCGTGTGCACACAGCTAAAACGGGGACCCCCATTTAGAGCTCATCGGTCAGAAGTACTGGGGCCAACCTGAGACTTGCGATTGGCGTCTGAAATGTGGCAGTCTTGTGGGACTGAGCCCTTAAACCATGGGGTCTGACACTGCCTCCAGGCAGATAGTGTGAAATTGAATTGAATTGTAGGACACCTAGCTGGTGTCAGAGAACTGATCAGTGTGAGAAAACGCCACATATTTGGTGGCCAGAAGTGAAGTGTGAGAGTAAAGGAAAACAGTGAGTTTTATCCTCAACATTACGCATAATAATCAAAGGTCAGCTCACAAGAAGACGTAACAGTCCTGAAGGTGTATGGACTGAATAACAGAGCGATAACACACATCAAGCAAAAACCAAGAGACCTGAAAGGAGAGACAGACAAGTCCGCGACTGTAGCTGGAGACGACCACGTTCCTCTCACTGCTCAACAGAAGAGGCGGAGAGAGAATCGGACAACACACAGGACCCCACAGCACGATCGCCCACTAGGCCTGCTTGGTGTTTAAAGAATGCCCCACCCAACAACAGCAGAACACACAGGCGTCTGAAGGACACATCGGACACTCACTAAGACAGACCGCAGTGCACGCCATAAAATAAACTTAAGCCAATTTTTAAAAATCGAAATCATACAAAGTATGTCTTGGTCATAATTAAAGATGTCTAGAAAACCTCAAATATTGGAAAATAAAACATTTAAAGCATGCAAAACTTTTGGTAACGATTAACATATTACACACATTTTATATCTATACAAAAAATGATAAAAGAGATCACATCTACAATATCATTGTAAATGTAGGACAAGGTTATACTTCAACACCTTCAAGAAATACACAAAGCTTCTTAGAATGTAAGATCTCAGATTATTCTACCAAATATATTTTTTCTTAGATTGAAATGCTAATGAAAGAAACTTCTGTTCACAGTATCCCACCGAGCTAATAAATATAAAGTTATAGCCACATATGTAATAGTGGCGCTGCAACGTTTCTTCAGAAGTATTATAAAATCTTTTCTTTTAGATTCGTTTAGAATATTATAAAAGTTGTGTGCAGACATTTCCAAATTTTAAAAATATATAAAAGGGCACATAAATTTATCCAGATAGTCCAGTAAGATTTAAACTTTGTTTAGCATAGAATTCCTTGAAAACACACAAACATATTTACACAGCCAGCTCCCTTAGCTGACAAAGGAAAATCAGGCTATTATACACACCAGAAAACTGGATGGTAGGTGTTATTCAGGGTCACACCCTGACTGAGGTGATGTTTAGGGTCACACCTTGACTAGAGTGATAGGGTCAGATCCTGACTGAGGTGCTATTCAGGTCCACATTCTGACTAGAGTGATATCGTGCTTCCTACCCCGACTGAGGTGATTTTTAGGTTCACACTTTGACCGACGTGAATTTTAGGGTCAGATCCTGACTACCGATATTTAGGTTCTGAGTCTGATGGGAGTGATATTTAGATCCACACCCTAGCTGGGTGGCATCAGGGTCACACCCTGACTGGAGTGACTTTTAGGATCAATATCCTGACTGGGGTGAATTCAGGGTCAGATCCTGACTGAGGCAATATTTAGGCTCAGAATCTGCTAGGGGTGATATTTAGATTCACTCCCTAACTGGGGTGATATTTAGGGTCACATTCTGACTGGAGTGACATTTAGGAGATTTATGTTCACACTGTTTAATGTTTAGGTTCACACTGTGATTGGGGTGACTTTTAGGTTCACACCTAGATCAAAGTGATAGGGTCAGATCACGACAAGGTGATATTTAGGTTTATAGTCTGCTAGGAGTGATATTTAAGGTCACATGCTGACTGTGGTAATATTTAGGGTCACACCCTGACTGAAGTGATTTTTAGGGCTGACAGCCTGACTGATGTGATATTCAGGGTCTGATTCTAACTGAGGTGATTTTTAGGTTTATACCTGAACTCGCGTGACATTTTGGGCCACTACCTGCCTGGAGTGATCTTTAGGTTAGGGTGCTGGACACCCTAACTAGAGTGAAATTTAGAGTCACACCATGATTGAGGTGATTTTTAGGTTCACACCTTGACTGAGGTGGTATTTAGGATCATATCCTGACTGAGGCATATTTAGGTTTAGAATCTGATGGGAGCAATACTTAGGTTCTATCCTAACTGAGGTGATATTCCAGGTCACAGTGTGGCTGGGATCTTACTAGAATCACACCCTGACAGCAGTGATTTTTAGGGTCAACATCCTGACTGGGGTGACATTTAGGATCACACCCTGACTATGATTATATTTAGTGTCACACTCTGAGGAGGTGATATTTTGAGTCCCACTTTGGAGTGATATTCAGGTTCACATTCTGACTGGAGGGATAGTTAGGTTCACAACCTGACTGAGGTGATTTTTAGATTCACATTTTGAGTGAGGTGATATTCAGAGTCAGATCCTAACTAGGCAATATTTTTGTTTAGAATCTAATGGAAGTGATATTTAGGTTCACACCCTAACTGTGGAAAGATTTAGGGGCGCACTCTGAATGGAGGTCTTTTCATGGTCACATCTTGAGAGGGGTGATACTTAGGGTCACACCCCGACTAGATGATATTTAGAGTCCCACCTTGAATAGAGTGATATTTAGGTTCCAAAATAACTGGGGTGATATTTAGGGTCACACTCTGATGGGATATTTAGGTTCACGTGCTGACGGAGGTGATTTTTAGGGTTAACAGCCTGACTGAGGTAATTTTAGGTTCACATCCTGACAAGAGTCATATTTAGGTTCAGATCTTGACTGGAGAGATATTTAGATTAACACCCTACTAGGGGTATTATTTAGGGTCACCCCCTGACTAGGTGATATTTAGAGTCCCACCTTGACTGGAGTCATATTTAGGTCATATCCTGACTGAGGTGATTTTTAGAGTCAAACCTTGACCAAAGTGATATTTAGAGTCAGATCCTGGCTGAGGCAATATTTAGGTTTAGAATCTAAGGGGAGTGATATTTAGGTCCACATCCTAATTGGGGTGATATTTAGGGTCATACCCTGACTGAAGTGATATTTAGGGTTAACGGTCTGACCAAGGTGATATTTAGGGTGACTCCCTGCCTGGGATGATATCTAGGTTTACAGTGGTTCACACCCTAACTGGGGTGAAACATAGGGTCACATTCTCACTGGGGTGATACTTAGGGTCACACACTGACTAGGTGATATTTAGAGATCTACCCTGACTGGAATGATGTCTAGGTTCATACCCTGACTAACGTGATTCTTAGGTTCACACCTTAAAGCAGGTGATATTTAGAACCAGATACTGACTGAGTGATATTTAGGTTTAGATCCTGACTGGGGTGATATTTAGGGTCACATCCTCACTGGCATGATATTTAGGTTCAGTTCCTGACTGGAGTGATATTTAGGTCACACTCTGACTGAGGTGCTTTTTAGGTTCACACCTTGACTGAAATGCTATTTAGATTTATACCCTGACTGGGCGATATTTAGGGTCACACCCTGTTGAGGTTATATTTAGGGTCACACCCTGACTAGGGTGATATTTAGTTTTAAATCCTGGCTTTTCCTCCAACTATCCATCTGTCCTTGGATAAATCACTTAAAACTCTGTATTCAGCTTTTGATTTGTTCAGTAAGGGGATCACAAAGACAATCTTCCTTTTTTTTTTTTTTTTTTTGCTTAGGAGGATTCATCCCAAGCTAATGTCTTTTGCCAATCTTCCTCTTTTTGCCTGAGGAAGATTTGTCCTGAGTCAACATGTGTGTCAGTCCTCCTCTATTTTGTATGTGGGTTGCCACCACAGCATGGCTGCCTACAAGTGGTGTAGGTCCGTGCCCAGGAACTGAACCCAGGCCAATGTACTTAACCACTAGGCCAAGGGGTCGGCCCCAAGACAATCTTAATTTTTAACATTATTTTAAAAATTCAAATATTCTAACCACCTAATTTTTATTTTCTGATTAAACCTACTAGGTGACTCCACTCTGTCTTTGAACTTGTGAAACTGCCTCAGGGCCCTGTATTTCCATGCGACACCTGGGGTTGCCCATTCATTTTAACATTGTGTCTGTGCCTGCTGCATTTTTATAGAGTTTCCCTTAAAGACTGAGTTAATCTTTATTACCTATACCCCAATCATCTAGCTGCTTCCCACCTA